AAAGATCGCTAAAAGTGGTTTGTGGTCGGTATGTAGTGTGAACCTACGACCGAAGATCATTTTGTGGAATTTGGTAACGGCAAATATTAAGCCTAATGCCTCTTTTTCAATTTGACTGTATCCTTTTTCTGTTTCCGTTAGGGACTTTGATGCATGGCTAATTGGTTTTTGTGTACTATCTGGATACTCGTGCATGATGCAAGCGCCCAGTCCGTAGTTTGACGCGTCTGCTGCTACTATTATCTTTTGATTTGGGTCGTAATGTGCGAGCAATAAATCGGATGACAGGATGTCTTTAAGATGCGTGAAACATTTTGCATGTTGACTATTCCATTGCCATTTGGTATTTATTTTCAGCAACTCGTCAAGTGGTCCCCGGTACAAGCGCATTTTGTCCACGAATTTGCCGTAAAAGTTTACGGCACCCAAAAATGACCGAAGTTCAGAAATGTTTGTTGGCTCCGGAATTTCGCGAATCGCTGCGGTTCTTTCTGCATTCGGTTTCAAGCCCTCTGCGTTGATAATGTACCCGAGATATTTTATTTCTTGAAGTGAAAACTTGCATTTTCCTATTTTAAGCTTAAATCCGTGTTCTTGTATGCGGCGTAAAACTTTTTCGAGATTGGTGTCATGTATTTCCTGTGTGGCCCCGGAAACGAAAATGTCGTCGATATACGCGGTGACACCTTCTAAACCGGCGAGCATTTGGTCCATGATTTGTTGGAAAATCGATGGAAATGTTTTTACCCCGAAAACCATGCGATTGTAACGAAACAACCCCAACTGTGTGTTGATTGTGAGTAAATGTTTTGACTCATCATCTACAGCAATTTGTAGGAAAGCGACTGCCAAATCAATATGGCTAAATATTTTCGCGTTTGATAACTTCGAAAAAATGTCCTCCGGCAGAGGAAGTGGATATTTGTGTGTTTCCAATGCATTGTTTAGACCTGTGGAAAAGTCTGCACATAGGCGTATCGTACCATCTGTTTTCCTGACTACAACAATTGGAGCTGCCCAATCGCTGTAACTTACTGGTGAGATTATTCCATCTTCTACCAGACGGTTTATTTCGGCCTCTACGGATTGTTTGACGGCATATGCGACTGGTCGCGGTGGTCGAAAAACTGGTCTACAGTCTTTCTTAATGTACAGGTGGGCTGTAGATTTGTTATATAGCCCCATTTTGTTCTCAAAAAGATCTGGAAAAAGTTATTTTACTTTGTTTTCGTTAATTCTGGGTCTTGGATAATTTGTTGTTTCGATCGCTTGACAGATGGCGTTGATCGGCATATCGTCTAATCGAAGAGCTCTTATCCAATCGAGACCCATCACATTAAGTTTCTTTACTGACGTTGCGTAGCATGTGGTAATGGCCTTGCGATTTCGAAATTCGATGTCGCACTCGAATTGGGCTATCAGTGGCAGCTCGCCTGTTGCGCTGCGTGCTGGTCACTTCATCCATTTTCGAAATCGGAAGCCTCTTCAAGACCTCTTTGGATATGATAGTTATATCAGACCCCGTATCGAGTTGGAGGCAGACTTCGATACCGTTGATGTTGACTTTTGTGAACTTTCTGCTGCTTATATTGTTGACTGCGAAGATAGTTTTTGACATAGTATCGGTGTTGGATTTCTTCTTGGTATATGCACCCTTGTTTTCGTGCTGTTTTACATTTCTTACATTTCTTGCATTTGTGATTTTTGAAGGAACAGTTGCGAGCATAGTGCATACTACCACAGAACCAACATGGCGAGTTTGGCGTTCTTCTCATATTTTGTGTGTTCTTAGCTGCCTTTACTTGTTGAACTTCAAAATTTTGTTTTTCAACAAGAGCGGTATCGGACTTAAGATTAATTATGCGCTGGCATTCTCTTGATATGATTTCAAGAGTGATAGTACTGGCCTCACTATCAATTTTGCTTAAAAGTTTTGTTCGTATTTCAAAATCTGTTTGCGACTTAAGACCCATGACGAATACTAGACATTTGAATTGATCCACTGTCAACTCGTTTAGCTTAAATTTCTCGCAGTGTTTGTTCACCATACCTGTGTATGTGAGAAAGTCCATGTTCGCGTCTTTTGTAACTTGCAAACAATTAAACCGTGCATTGAAAATTGATGTTTGACTACCAAACAGTTGGGTTAGCTTTTGCACAGTGCTGTCAAATGTAAATTCACGTGGATGATTGGGAAGAATATAATTAATATATTTACTATGAGCGGCTGTATTCAATTTTCGAAGCAGTAGTCTCACTTTTGCGGCATCGTCTAGCTTTGCTGCATCTATTGCAAATAGATCTTC